TTCTTTTCAGAGCTGCACCAGATTTTGCACACTCAAGTTTTAGCGAATCCCACTCAAAGATTTTCCAGGACAAAAATAATTCTTCCCATTTGATTTGTACCTATTCATCCTTCATGTGTGAAAGTGTTAGGGTTTTTGTAACCTCAAAAAGAAAGCATTTAATATTTTTGGGGCAAAACAAGGCTTTACAGTGATATCGTTTTGCAAAACTAGTTATTTTATGCAAGCTACAGACAAAAAATGCTAAATTTTCTCTTCTTTGATCAGTATTTATTTACAAATAGTGATAAAGATTAAAAGTATAAGAGATTAAAAAGGGCATTCTTTAATTTAATGTTCTGCATTCTTTTCAACATAACAATAAAAATGAACCAACAAAACAAATAATAACAAAAAAGGCTTAAAAAGAAGTATGGCCAAAGCTTTTTTTGGTCATACTTCTCTTCTAGGTCACAGGTGTGCACTTACTGTACTTTTGCACTCATGTTGCTTAGCCAACTCCAGCCCATGCCGGCAGGTAGCTTCCATCTGTGCAGCCTCTCTTTGAGCCTAGTGTTCTGCAGCCTCTCTCTTGGGCACTGCCTTGTGTTCAATAAACTGCATGTATGTCATAAGATGTTTTACAGTGCTTCCTAAAACTGAGAAGATTTGAGGTTACAGAGAGTCTAGCAATGACCTGCTAAGCCTGTGGATGAGAGGTTGCACCTATCAGTACATTACATTCAGTTCTAGTACCCTCACCTGAATGGGCTATGCCAGATCCACAATCATCTGCTGTTGAAAATCTGACCTTTAAGAAATTATTATTATTATTATACAGGATTTATATAGCGGCAGCAGTTTGTGCAGCGCTTTACAAAACGAAGGTAGACATTACAGTTACAATACAATTTGGTGCAAGAGGAAACAGAGAGCCCTGCTCATTAGAGCTTACAATCTAGGAGAAATGTCTGTGACACTCACTGCCAGCCAGGAATCCATGCATGCTGGTTCACATATATGCGGATTGGATGTGGTTTGAACCGCTTCCAATCCTCATGACATGTGAAATAACATTGCTTCCTATGATGACTGTTCACATATGTCCGGTGCACTGGTGGTGCGGATTCAGTGCGGTTTGAAAATTAATCATGTACGATTTCTTAGCAGTGCCTTCAGGTGAAGATTACAGGCTATTGACTTCTATGGGAACGGTTTCTAAACCACATATGTGTGAATAGGATAAAATCCTGAGCTAATCCTGTCCTGAACCTGATTGTAAACCTGACATGAACCACTGAACAATTACTGTGTCAATTAGCTGTGAAACCTGAGCTTCAATTCCCACCACACATGTATGAATCAGCTCTGACTAATAGCTGAATGTGCCAGACGGGAATAAGTCAGTAGTTGCTAGGATGCTGACGGTTGCCAGCTCCTTAACAACCAGAAGCAGGGAGCTGTCACCCAGCAAAATGATGTTACATTCACCCAACCCCTGACATTGTCAATTGTGCCAAAATGCATAGAGAGCAGCATACGATCTGATTTCATCTCGCACAAACGTGCTGGTTTATGAATAAGCTGTTTTACTGCTTCTGTTGGTATGTTTTTAATCTAATAAATCTGGATTTGGTATATTGATTTACACTATATAGAGTCTTATTCTTTCCTTCAACATGACCTTTATCTAAATGGAATGTGGAGTCAATTGGTGAGTCTGGTGAGGATCACTCTCAAGGGACTTATTAGCATCTACCCTATGATCCTTTTTGTGGCAAATGTGTTTGAACGTCTGTGCTAAGGGGTCATATCATTCTGGTAAGAGGCCTGGTATTAATGTTGAAGGAGAAGATTGTCACCTGATTTTTCACATTCTTTATATGACTATTTTTCACTATTGTTAAATGATTTTAAGTGTGTTTACATTTCACAATTTGATTTGTTGCACAGGCCTCGTGTTCCATATTGTTGTTCATAACTGAATGGTATATATACCTTGTATGGGGTTGTAATGGGTTTTAAAAGGGTAGTGCAACTTTTCTGAGTTTAATATTATTGTTAAATACCTTGTTTGTGGGTATCGTGTGAGCTGCTTCCCTTAATATTATTATAATTATCACAATCATCAATATCATTTTCATTATTGTTATTTCACTTTGGTATTGAGCACAGAGTTTAACACGCTTTTCAACAAATAGAAACTGCTCTTGCACACATTATAAACTGTAACTTTTGTGCAAATGCTGCTGACACATTCACAAAACATTTTTTAAATATAGACCCGTTTTCAATACTACATTACTTAAAGTTGGAACAATATATTTGTGATTTTATACGCTTAGAAAATGCTTTATATGGAACCCTCTTAAGGCTTACAGGATTGATTTTAAAGGATTCTGTGTCCCTCAGCCACTTTGATTCATGTAGTTTCTCTAGGGTATAAATATGGAATATTTTTTTGAAAGGGGCTTTAGTATTATAATTTTGCCATGCTTAACTAAAAGTTATTTGTGATGATTTTTCTGTGTAAGTAATAACTTGGGCATGATTATAACCATCATAATTGCCCATTAAGGTTAATGTGTAACAAGATGTGGATCAACAAGGGGAAGCAAAGGTTAAGACTAGTGTCTTGAAGGATGGGTTTGTGGGCTAGCTTCTCCAGTGAAGAAGGTTTTCTGTCCTTCTAAATGTGTTGGGCTGAAGTAACCTGGTGGTGAGATCTCTGTCTAGATGTCTAAAGAGATTTACCCTTAGCGACTCAAGTGAAGCTGGCCCCTTGCAAGAAACCAACATTGGGGAATTCTCTAAGTTTTATGGCTGTTGAATCTGACCTCATGTGACTGCATTTGATTACTTTATATATATAAAGTGTTGTGGTTTGGTACAAAAGCTGGATTGCAGTGTGATTATTTGCTACTAGAAAGACCTGGGACTACAGACATACCCTGACTTAGCAGTGTGATCTGCATTTTGAAACTGTGGTGGAGCGCGGCATCAAAATATCTTTTAATGAGGTTATTGGGGGAAAGGGAGAACCTACATTCTAATGATAACAGGCAGCTCCCTAAAGAATGTAAGATGCTTTCTGTATTTGTGAAACTCTTGTATTGTTGTACTATGGTTTCAGCTCTGAAACAGCGCACCACAATGTGTTAGTGAGCTGTAGTATGACCCAACTCACTTTACTTTGAAAGTGAATTGGGCTTCCTAATTAGAGATGAGCGAAGTATTCAAAAATTCGATTCGACTGATTCGGCGAATTCGTGGAAAAATTTTGATTCGAGTCGAATATATTCGCTGCGAATTTAACTTATAAAAGGGTGTTTCTAGGCTTATCAGAGAGCCTTTATATTAGTGCAGAACACTGTACCTTTAATTTAAATGCCCTTGGAGTCTGCTGGGGAAGAGAAATAATACTGACAGTCAGTATGACATGCAGATGAGTGCCGTCGATCTTAGAAATCACCGCACACACTTCACTCAATTGGGCAGTCACGGGGCCAAAACCAGAGTGTGGAGCCACAGTGTGGCGGTGGAGGCAGCAGCAATGGGAGGCCATAACAAGCACCCTATGACAAAAAATGGAAAACCACCAGCAGTGTGAGGAACCTGAAAGTGGGCACATTCATGCCTATAGCAGCAGAGTGTGGCGATGGAGACAGCAGCAATGGAGTCCGTACGAGGGACCCATGACACACTTGTAACTGGACCTGGCAGCAGCATGAGGAGGCGGTACAGGGGCCCATGACAGATTACGGGCCTGGCAGCAGCATGAGGAGAAGTCCGGTACGGGGGCCCATGGCAGATTAGAGGGCCTGGCAGCAGCTATGGGAGGCCCCGTAATCTGCCAGCACCCCCTATGTCAAAAAATGCAACACACCAGCAGTGGTGAGGAGACCTAAAAGTGGCACATGGCAGAGTGTGTGTGATGGAGACAGCAGCAATGGGAGGGTCCGTACAGGGACCCATGACAGACTCTGGACTTGGCAGCAGCATGAGGAGGCGGTATAGGGGCCATGGCAGATTAGGGGCCTGGCAGCAGCTATAGGAGGCCCGTAATCTGCCAGCACCCTATGACAAAAAATGGAACACACCAAGCAGTGTGAGGAGAACCTGAAAGTGGCACAGGATGGCATGAGACACACTGTGGACCTGGCAGCAGCATGAGGAGGCGGTATAGGGGCCCATGGCAGATTAGGGGCCTGGCAGCAGCTATGGGAGGCCCGTAATCTGCCAGCACCCTATGTCAAAAAATTGAACACACCAGCAGTGTGTAGGAGACCTGAAAGTGGCACATGGCATGAGACACTGTGGACCGCACAGGCAGCAGCATGAGGAGGCGGTATAGGGGCCCATGGCAGATTAGGGGGGCCTGGCAGCAGCTATGGGAGGCCCGTAATCTGCCAGCACCCTATGTCAAAAATTCAACACACCAGCAGTGTGTGAGGAGACCTGAAAGTGGCACATGGCAGAGTGGGCGATGGAGACAGCAGCAATGGGAGGCCGTACAGGGACCCATGAGACACTCTGGACTTGGCAGCAGCATGAGGAGGCGGTATAGGGGCCCATGGCAGATTAGGGGCCTGGCAGCAGCTATGGGAGGCCCGTAATCTGCCAGCACCCTATGACAAAAAATTAACACACACCAGCAGTGTGTGAGGAGACCTGAAAGTGGCACATGGCAAGCAGAGTGTGGCGATGGAGACAGCAGCAATGGGAGGCCGTACAGGGACCCAGACCGACTCTGGACTTGGCAGCAGCATGAGGAGGCGGGTATAGGGGCCCATGGCAGATTAGGGGCCTGGCAGCAGCTATGGGAGGCCCGTAATCTGCCAGCACCCTATGTCAAAAAAAATGGAACACACCAGCAGTGTGAGGAGACCTGAAAGTGGCACATGGCAGAGTGTGGCGATGGAGACAGCAGCAATGGGAGGCCGTACAGGGACCCATGACAGACTCTGGACTTGGCAGCAGCATGAGGAGGCGGTATAGGGGGCCCATGGCAGATTAGGGGCCTGGCAGCAGCTATGGGAGGCCCGTAATCTGCCAGCACCCTATGGTCAAAAAATTTCAACACACCAGCAGTGTGTGAGGAGACCTGAAAGTGGCACATGGCAGAGTGTGGCGATGGAGACAGCAGCAATGGGAGGCCGTACAGGGACCCATGAGAGACTCTGGACCTGGCAGCAGCATGAGGAGGCGGTATAGGGGCCCATGGCAGATTAGGGCCTGGCAGCAGCTATGGGAGGCCCGTAATCTGCCAGCACCCTATGACAAAAATTGAACACACCAGCAGTCTGTGAGGAGACCTGAAAGTGGCACAGCATGGCATGAGACACTGTGGACCTGGCAGCAGCATGAGGAGGCGGTACAGGGGCCCATGGCAGATTAGGGGCCTGGCAGCAGCTATGGGAGGCCCGTAATCTGCCAGCACCCTATGTCAAAAAAATTCAACACACCAGCATGTGTGTGAGAGACCTGAAAGTGGCACATGGCAGAGTGTGGCGATGGAGACAAGCAGCAATGGGAGGCCGTACAGGGACCCATGACAGACTCTGGACCTGGCAGCAGCATGAGGTGAGGGTATATAGGGGCCCATGCAGATTAGGGGCCTGGCAGCAGCTATGAGAGGCCCGTAATCTGCCAGCACCCTATGTCAAAAAAATGGAACACACCAGCAGTGTGAGAGACCTGAAAGTGGCACATGGCATGAGACACTGTGGACCTGGCAGCAGCATGAGGAGGCGGTACAGGGGCCCATGGCAGATTAGGGGCCTGGCAGCAGCTATGGGAGGCCCGTAATCTGCCAGCACCCTATGTCAAAAAATTCAACACACCAGCAGTGTGTGAGGAGACCTGAAAGTGGCACATGGCAGAGTGTGGCGATGGAGACAGCAGCAATGGGAGGCCGTACAGGGACCCATGAGAGACTCTGGACCTGGCAGCAGCATGAGGAGGCGGTATATGGGGCCCATGCAGATTAGGGGCCTGGCAGCAGCTATGGGAGGCCCGTAATCTGCCAGCACCCTATGTCAAAAAATTGAACACACCAGCAGTGTGTGAAGGAGACCTGAAAGTGGCACATGTGCATGGAGACACTGTGGACCGTACAGGGACCCATGAACACTCTGGACCTGGCAGCAGCATGAGGAGGCGGTACAGGGGCCCATGGCAGATTAGGGGCCTGGCAGCAGCTATGGGAGGCCCGTAATCTGCCAGCACCCTATGACAAAAAATGGAACACACCAGCAGTGTAAGTAGACCTGAAAGTGGCACATGGCAGGGGCATGATTCATGGCGGATTTAGTCAGTTGTGTCAGGAACTGGTGGTTTTGAAATCCAGACTAATCCACGCCTGATTCATTTTCACAAACGTGAGTCTCTCCACACTTTGGGTGGACAGTCGTGTCCCTCCGCGGAGTTACAATACCTCCTGCCGCACTAAACACGCGCTCCGATGCCACGCTACTGGCCGGGCATGACAGCCTTTCAAGGGCAAATTCAGCTAGTTGGGGCCAAAGGTCAAGTTTCGTTGCCCAGTAGTCAAGGGGATTGTCTACCTCGGTTGGCAGGGTGCTGTCCAAGTAGGCCCAAGCCTGTTGTTTGAGGTCCTGCTCCAGGTCCACCTGATGCTGCTGCTGCTGCGGCTGGTTAGTAGTTTCCTCACTGCGCTGGTGAAGAAAGCTACTCATCATCGACTGCAGACTGAGGCAGCCGCTGCTGGTGGAGCTGCCACTGCTCCTACCACCCCACCCCTCCCCCTGCTGCCATGGCAGCGGAACGCGAGCGCACAGGGCCCACAGTGTCTGAGGATGGACGTTGGCGCACAAAGGCAGAGACCAACTGACTACATAGGTGGTTTTTATAGTACGTTATTTTGGCCTCCCTCTCAGCAGGTGTGAAAAAGGCCACCATTTTTGAACGGTAGCGAGGGTCCAACAAGGTGGACAGCCAAAAGTCATCCCTCTGTCTGATGGTTATTATTCGGCTGTCGCTACGCAAGCAACCGAGCATGCTATGGGCCATTTGTGCCAAGGAATGCGAGGGACTCCCTGCCTCCATCTCCACAGCATACTGCCACGGTGCGTCTGGGTCCTCTGTCTCCCTCCTCCTCCTCCTCTACCAGATGCTCCTGCTCCTCCACTCCTGTCCGCTGAGTGGAAAAACCCCATTTCACTCAATAATTCCTGAGCACAAATGTCCTCCTCTACCTCCTCCTCTTCTTCCTGTCCTGCCCCCACAGGGGTCATGTGGCGTTGAGATCTGTGCGCCACGTCTACCGCACCCTGACCAGCCATTGTTAACAGCATTTGTTCCAGGACGTGCAACAGAGGAATGACGTCGTTCATCCCCATAGTCCTGCCGACTCACGAATAGCGTGGCCTCCTCAAAGGGCCTGAGCAAGCGGCAGGTGTCACGCATGAGCTGCCAATGGCTGACATCGAAGTTACACAGGGGAGTACCTTTATCCGCTTGTAACATCAGGAAATCGGTGATGGCCTTTCGCTGTTCGTAAAGGCGGTCTAACATGTGTAGGGTTGAATTCCACCTTGTTGCAACGTCGCAGATCAGGCGATGCTGTGGAATTCCGTTCTGCCGCTGCAGCTCAAGGAGGGTGTGCTTTGCGGTGTAGGAATGGCTGAAATGCATGCAAAGTTTACGTGACATTTTAAGGATGTCTTGCAGTGGGATGGTGGATTTTAGGAACCGCTTGACAACCAGATTGAACACGTGAGCCATGCATGGCGCATGGCACAACCTTCCTTGACGCAGAGCAGACACCATGTTCTTTCCGTTGTCGGTCAACATGGTTCCGATTTTGAGTTTGCGCGGAGACAGCCATCTGTCGATTTCTCTGTTCATTACACTGAGAAGTTCCTCCCCTGTGTGACTACGTTCGCCAAGGCATACCAGGTGCAGCACAGCGTGACACCGTTGCGCCCTGCACATGTGATATGCCGGTCGGGTAATGGGACTTGGCACGGGGGTGGCGGCTGAGGACACGAAGGAAGAAGAGGTGGTAGAGGCGGACATCTTTTGTGGACCAAGGACGTGCAAACGTGGAGGCAAAAGCGGCGTGACCTGTCCAAGTTGCTGGTGCGGCTGTGACGGCACCACGTTCACCCAGTGGGCCGTAAATGACATGTACTGTCCCTGACCGTAGTTACAGCTCCACACGTCGGCGCTGCCGTGCACTTTGGCAGAGACCGACATGCTCAAAGGACTGGCCCACCATCTCTTCTACATGTGAATGCAGGGCTGGCACTGCCTTTTTGGCGAAGAAATGACGGCTTGGCACTCTCCACCGCGGCGCGGCACAAGCCATCATTTCTCGGAAAGGTGCTGAGTCCACCACTTGGAAAGGGAGGGACTGCAGCACCAGCAACTTGGACAGGAGGACGTTCAGCTTTTGCACCGTCGGGTGCGTGCTCGCAAACTGTTGTCTCTTGGAAACGGATTCCAAGAAAGACTGCTGACGGAATCCGTGAAGAGGAGTAGCAGGAGAAGGAGCATCTGAACGAGCGGAAGATGGCAATGAGCGACAACTCCCCTCAGCAGAGGTGTTGGAGCCTTGACTGGCTGATATAGGGGGCGATTGACGTCGGGTGACGGAGCAAGTAACGGAGCGGGTGATGGAGCGGGGGCTGGGGCGGGCAGGCAGAACCGCCGTATCTTTATCACGGTTTTCCCTGGCCACCAAATGGCGACGCTGCATATGCTGCCGCAACGCTGTAGTCCCAACATGGGCCCCCTGGGCCACGCTTGACTTTCTGGCCACATAGTCGACATACGGCTACGTTTACTTCCTCGGGGCGGCTTGACAAAAAATTGCCACACCGCCGAGTAGGAAACTTTGCCCCCGATACTCCTCACTGGCTGACTGCTGCTTCCTCCGTGCACACCGGCACCACTACTGGCCGTGGTGGTAGGCTGCAGTGGAGCTGGTGCTGTACTCCGTGGCCGTTTGCCTCCACTGACACTGCTGCGACCCTGCTGCCTCCTGGGCAACCCACCGACTGTTTTGCTCGCTGCCAAGCTGCCACCCTCTTCTCCTGATGATGCGGAAGCAATAGCCTGATGACGACGAGGCTGCCAAGTGCGATCAGCCTCATCATCATCAATTAGGGTCTCCGCCTCACTACTAGCCCCCTCGGCTGCGTGTGGGTCAGGAGACAGACCTGTCTCTAGACCGGCTACCGAGCCACTCTCCTCGCCCACTACTTCTTCGCCTGGCTGCTGAAGAGGCGGATGTCTCCCCCCGTTCCTGACCGCCCTCTGTTTGCTCTTCCTCACTGTACAGTGGGGCTGAGCCCACAGCATGCGATACTTCGCTTGGTGAGGGAACACCAAAGGACAGGGGCAGGTAGAGGACACGTGATTTCAGTGGGCCTGCTCCCGGGCCATGCCAACTAACGGTTGTGTCTGACGTACCCACCGACCGTTGGCTGTAGGTGTCAGAGGTGACCTGGGAAGAGGAAGACGACCGAGCCAACCAATCGATGACGGCAGGGTTGTCGGTGGAGACACGACCGCTGGATGACACCGGGAGCACTGGCCTCTGGCTGCGAATAGTGCTGCCTCGACCCCTTCCTCTGCTGCCACGTCTGCTCGCTCCTAAAACATTGCCTCCTCTGCCACTCCTCTGCATGTTGTCTGACATACTCTTTAATTAAACGATTCTGTGTCCCTGAGTAACAATTCTGTGTCTGTCCCTGAGTAACAATTCTGTGTCCCTGAGTAACGTTTCTGTGGCCCTAAGTAACAGTTCTGTGGCCCTCAGTAACAATTCTGTGTCCCTCAGTAACAATTCTGTGTCCCTCAGTAACAATTCTGTGTCTGTCCCTGAGTAACAATTCTGTGTCTCCCTCAGTAACAATTCTGTGTCCCTCAGTAACAATTCTGTGTCCCTCAGTAACAATTCTGTGTCCCTCAGTAACAATTCTGTGTCCCTGAGTAACAATTCTGTGTCCCTCAGTAACAATTCTGTGTCCCTCAGTAACAATTCTGTGTCCCTGAGTAACGATTCTGTGTCCCTAAGTAACGTTTCTGTGGCCCTAAGTAACGGTTCTGTGTGGCCCTCAGTAACAATCTGTGTCACTCAGTAACAATTCTGTGTCTGTCCCTGAGTAACAATTCTGTGTCCCTGAGTAACAGTTCTGTGGCCCTCAGTAACAAATCTGTGTCCCTCAGTAACAATTCTGTGTCCCTCAGTAACAATTCTGTGTCTGTTCCTGAGTAACAATTCTGTGTCTGTCCCTGAGTAACAATTCTGTGTCCCTCAGTAACAATTCTGTGTCCCTCAGTAACAATTCTGTGTCCCTCAGTAACAATTCTGTGTCCCCTGAGTAACAATTCTGTGTCCCTCAGTAACAATTCTGTGTCCCTGAGTAACAATTCTGTGTCTGTCCCTGAGTAACAATTCTGTGTCCCTAAGTAACGTTTCTGTGGCCCTAAGTAACGGTTCTGTGGCCCTCAGTAACAAATCTGTGTCCCTCAGTAACAATTCTGTGTATGTCCCTGAGTAACAATTCTGTGTCCCTAAGTAACGATTCTGTGGCCCTAAGTAACGTTTCTGTGCCCTAAGTAACGTTCTGTGGCCCTAAGTAACGTTTCTGTGTCCCTCAAGTAACAATTCTGGCCCTAAGTAATGTTTCTGTGTCCCTCAGTAACAATTCTGTGTCTGTCCCTAAGTAACAATTCTGTGGCCCTAAGTAACGTTTCTGTGGCTCTAAGTAACGGTTCTGTGGCCCTCAGTAACAATTTGTGTCCCTCAATAACAATTCTGTGTCTGTCCCTAAGTAACAATTCTGTGGCCCTAAGTAACGTTTCTGTGGCCCTAAGTAACGTTTCTGTGTGGCCCTAAGTAACGATTCTGTGGCCCTCAGTAACAATTCTGTATCCCTCAGTAACAATTCTGTGTCTGTCCCTGAGTAACAATTCTGTGGCCCTAAGTAACGTTTCTGTGGCCCTAACTAACGTTTCTGTGGCCCTAAGTAATGGTTCTGTGGCCCTCAGTAACAATTCTGTGTCCCTCAGTAACAATTCTGTGTCTGTCCCTAAGTAACAATTCTGTGGCTCTAAGTAACGATTCTGTGGCCCTCAGTAACAAATCTGTGTCCCCAGTAACAAATCTGTGTCCCTCAGTAACAATTCTGTGTCTGTCCCTAAG